ATGAAGTGAAAATTAGGCCTTCATTTAGCAAAAGGAGACTTCTATGTGTTTATTTCAAGAGTACTCCAGATTACTGTGCTTTTTCATCCACATTTTCTTTTACCAACAAAGGAGGAGTCTGGTTGTTGTGGGTAATTGATTGATAAAGCTATCTTCCACCACCATATTACAGAGGATACAGAAGATTCTCATGTAGAGCTACTTGTATTCGTATCAAATGAATCTGAATGCAAGTTTAACATGCTATGTCTGAGTTGTTCATTTGACTGCCCTGGAGGAATCAACCTGTAAAAGTATTTCTTCATATAGATTCTAATAAAACAAGTGAAGAAACTGCTGTACAACAAGTACAACAGTAATTCACTAATCACATCTATTTTCATCTTAAATGTGTGTGTTTAAAAAATTCTGAACAAGGTGTAGGCTTCAGATCTGCTTCAGCTCTTGCTGCTTCCTGAAGAGCAGCCAGGAGAAACTGGAAAGAATGAAGGAGATCCACTTCCAAGAAGTACTGGCACTGACCTCAGACAGCTCAGTAGTTGTGGGTATTATGGAATTTTGCTAGTCTGCCTGTAATTATTGATCCAAATGCTGTCAACACTTGTATGTTAGAGAATGGAGAGCTTACCTATTTGGACCCTAAATTACAGTCCACATTTATTCTCATCTTCCTAAAGAAAAAACTTTTACAACTTTTCTTTCCATAGTTTTAGCTTATAGGGTAGATGAGCTAGGAGAATTGCTGTGTCCTCTGAAGTCAAGGGCTCACTGCAGGAAGTGAGCAAGAGATTTAGCTGTTGTAAACAGAGCACAAAGAAATTACCTTTTTTTGGACATGCACATGACTGCAGCTAAATATATACAGAGGCAAAGCCAGGACAATTTATTTTGCCTCTATCTACTTTGAACTGATAAATGCCATTATTCTGCTTTCGACAGATTTTTTTAAAAGACCACTGGAACCTCAGTCTACAGGATGGAAAAATATTGATAATGCCCTGAGTCTCAGGAGAAAAGTTAGTGTCATTCTACAAGAGATGTTAACAGAAACTAGCAAAACAGGACTTAGTCTTTTAAACTGTCTTTCCAACTGTACCTGATGTCCTACACATGATCTTGCACGTCTTTCTAGTGCTGTATTCCCTTTGAAGGTGAAGTTGCCTAGTCACAGAAGAGACCATGTAATGTAATAGTTCAAGTGATATGCTGTTATCTCAAGAGCAACTCATGTTTATCTATTTGAGTATTAATACTTGGCAATTTCTGATGAAGAAGCATTAGTGTCTAAATCAATAAAGTTAGCTGTTTATAGGTAAATGTCCGTCTTTCATCCCCATCTTTATAAGAAATGCAATAAGGAATACAGTAGTTTTAACTCTTCCATGCCAAGAATACAATTCTATGCAATATTGCCGACACCACCTCAGCATGGATTTGTATGGGCCAAGGTTATGTGCCTGAGAATAAGCATTTTTATACTCTCATCATCACTCTTAAATTCCAGCAAAGTAAATCATTAATATTCTTTGTAGAGTAGAAGTTTTAGCCTTTTTTTTTTGGTGGAGAATAATTTAGAAACATAATTCTTGTCTTTTAGGGTTTAATCCAGACTTAATAACTTTTGGACTAAACAGTTTTTTTTTTAATTATTCAAATAAACTACATTTGTCATTCTGCTTTCTTACCACAGCTAAGAAAATACATTACAGTGAGAGGAAATAATGTCATTTGGATCCAATGTCTCTACATTACTGGTACAAATGAACATGAGTGATGCTGGCTGAGCCAATATTATTCTGGAAGTCAGATGCCTATTCTGTGCTGACCCACTGTGTTCAATATTCAGGCCTGTGGAAAAAGAAGTTCCCAAATAAAATCAATTCAGTGAGAGGAGGTTGTTGCTGACTGAGGTGAAAAGTGCTGTGTGTGCACTACTGTCTACCATAGGCACCAGAAAACCCTGCTGCAGAGCATCTAGTTGCTACTGTAATTATTGTAGAGACAGGTGATGTCACTGCTAGAGGGCAAATTGAAGAGCTTCATACCATCAACTTTATTTGTATCAAAGCAGAAGTGCTTTAAAATCTGTTCTTTCAGAAGCAACAAATCTGAACATTTACTTTTGTTTGGAAATTCTAGAAGTACTGAAAGTTCCGTTGTTTTTCAATAAGATGAAATGGCAAATGTTGAATTGTTTCTGTCAAGTACTTTATTGCAGTGCCACAAGTTGCTTGGAGACAAGATATTTTTTAATCACAAACAGTCTGCAGATTATACTAAGCAAATTGTAAATATGGCTGAAAAAATTAAAAAAAGCTATGAACTTATCTACATGTACATGAACTTGTCTACTATTACTCCACTGGAGAAATTTTACTTGATTTAAACACAGCAAGACAAAACATCTTTCCTATTAGTGAGATTCAGGGCCTACTTTACTAAGTTATTACATATTTAATGTACCCTCATTAATTCTGAAGTTGCACCATTGGAACCTATCATTACATTCTCTGTAACTTGTGTTCACTGGATCCTTTCTAAAAGTGCATTTGCATTTTCAAGTATGACTATCTCTTAACAGAAAGGTGTCCCTACAATAAAACTCATTCCTGACAGCTCCTGCTGCAATAAGAATTGCTTTATCTTTTGAAATTCATTGTTACACCTTAGGCTTGGGCAGCATAAACCATACAAGATGTCTCAGACACTTCACATTTTAATTTCTGTCTGAATCAACTTCTTTTTGTAAGAAGCAATCTTGGAAAAATATGTCCCATTCTGCTTCTCGAGGAGTGCAATCGACTAATTTTGTAATATTTCAAAACTGGTTCTTCCTGCACTTTATCAGTCGATACATCTTCATTTGTCAAGCATCTGACTTCCTCTAATAAGAAACATAATTTATCCTTAAGTGGGTACCAGCAGCATTGGGGGTGTGGTAATGCAGAGCTCAGCATCAGGTAACCACTGACTGTGTATATATTTTTATATATATATATATATATAAATATATATATATATATATATATGTATGCACATACGAGAGCAAGGATGAGTTTTGGAGTTTGTTCTGAACTTTTCCCCACCTTGAGTACACTTCTAATAGTAACCAAGCCAACTCAGGCTTGTTTCCTAGAGCTGCTTTAATACATTTGGCTGAAATATAGATATTTCTTCAAGTTTTTACATGAGGATAAAAATGACTAGTTACAAGCTGAAGCTTATACATCTAAACCATCTGACTTAGGGACAGCCTTTCATCTTTTTGACAGCTTTGCATCAACCTGTTATACAAGAAAAATCCTGAACATGTCAGACTCAAATCCACCCATTGATGATGATATTTCCTAAAATAGATAAAATGGAAATGTCATGGATACTACTAAAAGCTTTTTACTGAGTGAGAAATCATTTTCAAAAGGTGGACACTTCAGTTGCTGAAGTTATTACAAGAAATGCAATGTTTGGGAAGTGCTATACTCCCACAAGCATGTTACTCTGACTTATGCTATTTAATATATGATATTTAATATCACTATATATAATTATATCACATTTCAGCTGCAATATTGAGGGTTGATCTCTAGATCACTATCTCAGTGATAGCTTACTGAGGCTCCTGGGCTCCACATTGCAACCCACAGAATGTGAGTGAAAGTCAGTCCAGAAGCAGTGGATTCACATTGCTGTGATGCTGTGTCTGAGTTAAGCAGCTCCATCCCTCAGCTTTCTCTCTTTCTGAATCTCAGCAGGACACATCAGCTTCAGCATTTTATACCTGTTGGGCTGACCCTGCTGTTGGCACCTGTTTGTGTGGTTGTCTTGGTTTTTAAAGAGACTTCTTCAAGGTATTATAATTCACAGTATCCTCTGCAGGACTACAGGAGGAAAAAGTCTGGATTCAGTCTTGAAGCATACAACAATAAGGAGGATTTTATACAGCAATATTAGTGCTTATTGTGCATATAGTTTGTGACACTCAAGAGCAGTTACAGAAACACATTCCCTGACATTAGAAGCTTACAATCTAAACAAAATAAATTGCACAGAAGAGATCAGCATACAAAAAGCAGAATCATTGTTTTCTTACTTTTAGTGTACTTCTTGCTAACATATAGTATTGTGAACAGAGCAAGGAGTTAAAGGAGTTATGATTTAAAATAAAAGATAACAAAGAGAGTGATAGCTTGAGGAATTATTCTAAGAGTGGCTCAAAAAATGCAGAGCAAAGGATCATTCTTGACTGGGAGTTCAGAAAAATAGGAAAACAGTTTAGCAACTGAAAATAGACTTTAATATATTTACTTATCCATATTATTGAAGTTACAGACACTGGCCAAAGTGCTGTTGCACTAAGCTTCTTGCTTGATGCCTGGATATGTGACAGAGATGATCCAGTTCTATTAATTTCAGTAAGAGCTATAGAGGTGTAACTACTTTAAAGAGCAGGCTGAAGACTTATTAGCTGAAGACCAAGGTCAAAACTCTTGCATAAATTTTCATTAATAAATGCAGGAACAGTATCTTCAAATGCTGGTATGAGTCTTTTTCATACAGTAATGCAACTTCTGCTCACTAAAACTATTTTCCTGTGCATCAGCAAAATAGCCATTTATAGGAAGTAAGGTAAATATTAGAGTGTAGTTTTGAAGAAAGGCTTGTTGAGCAGCAGGGGGCTAAATGGTAATAGGCGATATAAAATAAACATAGGCAATAACATTCCTTCACCCCATTGGTTGATATAAGATTGATTAATAGTAGTAGTAGAATAAAGATATAAATTGGAGTAATTCTATTCATCCAGTATTTCCTGAAATAACATATTTCTACAGTATATCTCACTGCAGATGTGTAGAATTTTAGGCCACAGATACCTCAGTTGTTCAAGTATATTGAATATGCTTTGGAGATTATTTTGACCAGAGCAAACTGATGAGTATCAGCAACTTCAAGTATTCTTTGATGTCTAGCTGCTCTCGCTTTCATTTTTTACCTCCTCTTTAAATGTCTTGGTAGCTGTTTCTGCTCCTGCAGCGTCCATAATGATAAAGGAGGTAGAGCAGTACAAGGTTAAAAAGGGACAAGAAGCCAACAGCAACATTAAATCCAATAAAAATATCTGTGAAGAACAAAAAATAAATGAAAAGGGAGTTAATGAAAGGCATATATGTATACCATTTTATATGCAAAGCTAACAGTCTAATTATATATATGTACAGTGGAAATATTTCTGGGAAGATCATATTTATTGACATGCAACATGAGAACATATACTTCAATCCTAGAAATTTGCAGATTGCTTCCTGTGCATAGGTGAATCCTGCTCCCATGTTTCCATAGGGCAGGAGGGCCTATGTGTAGTTAATGAAAAAAGAAAAATAGTTTCATCAGGGATCAGCAGAATGGTGAATATCTGCAGGACAGGGGAAATAACGGGACTATTGAGAAGTAATGTGTATTGCCTTGCTCTTCTCCTCCCTCCCAGAAATAATATTCAGGCAGGAAGAGGTTATCAGTTCTCAGCTGTTAGTAGATCATGGACCAGCTGCACTCAGTACAACTGCAGAAATACAGATGCACAAATCTTGCCATGCATTTGCAAGCCATTCTTGCTTTGCATTTGCAGAAAGTCTGCTGTATCCAACATGAACGGGATGCTTGTATAGCACTGACATCCGTACTTCTCTTTGATGTTTTCAACAACTGGAGATCTAGTTTTGACCACGGCCTTTAGGCAGCTCATTTTGTGAATATGCTAATTTAATTTCTACTGACATTCCTTGTCCATAGTAAATCTGGCCCACACTTAAAGGGAAATCTATTGATTGTGTGGAAAGCACAAAGTTTGGAGCCACTGATAAAATATCTGCCTCCTTGTCTTATGTGGAAAACACAGAACTGTTACACTACCTTTCATTTTGTCTTTCTTCCCACATTCTTTTGACCAGTTTTCTGTAATCACAGGAGAAACTAGTTCAGCAAACTTCTCAAGTGGACAAGAAGAGGTGCACCCTGGCAAAGTGAGGAGATAAGGATTCTTTGAAGTGTCGTTCCGATAATGCATTTCGATGCTATATTGCCTGATTAACGACATTGAAAAGTTTTTTTAAAAAGGTTCTGAAATAGAAGGTTTCCTACTTTGAGACAGCATGTTGGAAATAGGCTCTAACATCCTACTCTAGAACCTGTCCTCCAATAGTGGAGGCTTTGTGAAAGACATCTGCAAAGCCTACTTTGGCAAAGCTGTTAATTTAACTGCACAGATCAACAGACAGCTGAAAAGGTCTTTCTGCAGGCTCTTTGAATGGTACCAGCACTGGGCTCTTTTAAGCCAACTGGCTTACTGTGGGAGTTATGTCTTGGAAATGTTCTTGCTATCATCTGGAGAATCAAGAAAATTTATTTTACCACTTTCTTCCCTCTCACAAGGCTTGTTTTATATCTTCTTCCTGTCTTTCAAAGCATACATCCAGAAAATGTTATTTTCCCTAGTTTTAATATGACTTTGTGCCTATGGGCTGTTCATGAAGCATCTATTTAAATTAAAATTGTATCTTCTCACAATATTTGAGAGAAAAATGGTTTTGGGGAAGAGGGTAGCAAATTCTAAACACTCTTTCTTGCATCAATAAGAAGATACTTGCCCATTGCTTTCTTGGTAGAGTTCAAAAAACTGGCAAGCAGCATATGGTGGCAGTTTTCCATTGAAAATATTGAGAGCAATCTGGAGGGCCCCAACTGTGGTGTCATGCTATTGGAAAAAAAAAATAATCCATCCTTTACAGTCAATTAAGTCAACTAGCATTCATCCAGAGTTATGAGATAAGAATAGAGAGGGAGTGGAAATGAAGATAAAAGAAAACCTGTGTAAATTTGACCATAAAAATGTGTTCAATATATTCACCATTGGGAAAAACATGTTAACTGATTACTACAGACAGCAGGAGGCATTTCCAAGGAGTTGCTACAGTATGTGTCTTCCACCATCTGGCAGGATTTTGGAGACAAATACTGAGGGAAAGCAAGATGTGGTTTGAGTAATAAATCTACTTTTTCAGTCCATTTTCTCTTTTCCTTCCTTCGGTAGTGTCTTTTGCTCCAAGGTCAGATTAAGGCAGTGTGCAGTAGTATAATCTAGGGCATTTCAAGTGAAGGTACAAGTACTTTTTTTTTTCAGGTAGTATGCCAGACAAAATAGTTGTGTTCAAAGATTATTCTCCTTTCTTCCACTTCAGATTTTTTCTATTGTTCCTTCTGTTTAGACTCATACAACAAAATCTCAGTTTGGCTTCTATTTTTATGGGATCTGTTACCCACCCACATATAGTTTCTTCATCTACCCATTACCCCTGGCTTTTGCAGGGATTATAGGAAGAGGAGCTGAAGGCAGGAAGTCCAAACACTTTGGTGCATAAATTTTGCAAGCATCTTTAGGCACATATATATATATCTGCCAGACCTATTTATACTATAGTCTAGCAGCTATGGTTTAATTAATATTCAGGTTCTGGAATTTTACAGGCTGATCAATTTCAAAAATAACAATATTCATGAACTTAAGGTATTAAAGCAGAAGTGAAAAATCCTGATGTACTGCTCTTTCCTCTTCAAAAAGAACATGGTAGTACTGGAGTCATGTAGGAAGGACAGTGAGAAAGATATGAGGTATCAAGTAGTTTCTATAGGAGAAAAGATTAAATACAGTAGGACTCTTCCTTGGAAAAGGAAATATGGAAGAGGAGTGACAGAAAATACTAAATTCATTAGAGACCCAGAAAATATGAATAAAACCAGGAGTACTTTTTAACACAAAGTCATTGTCACAGGATGTTGCAGATTCCAAAGGTATAAATGAATTTAAAAAGTAATTAGGCAAGGTGATGGAAGACAGTCTGTCAAGAGAGACTAAACACAGGGACAAATTCTGTCTCACGAAGTCCCTAAAACACAGATTGCTGGAAGGTTTTATCACTCTATGCTGTCTTTATTCTCACATTCATCCCTGCCTTTGGCTCTTGTTAGAGACAGAATAATGGATGAGCTAAGCAGATCTTGGCCTGATGAAAGTGGCCCTCTTCACCCTCTAAAATAAATAAATTAATAACAGCAGTAATAAAAAAGAACCCACAGAAGAGAGATTTGGAGGCACAGCTGAAGTTCTGCTATTGCCAGTACCTTTGGAGCACTTCAGGAAAGATGCAACTAATAGAAACTGCACCATTGGGTTGAAGGAATAATGAAGGAAAAAATATATATAGGGTTTTTTTTCCAAAATATAAATATAAAACTGAGGTGAGATCCATGCCTATACTGTGTTCTTGTACTGATTAGTGTTTAGCTTTTTATCTGAATTAAACTGTAGTGTATTATTCCTTCATTTAACTTAAATACTGATAAAATCAAAGCAAGATTTATGAAAGATGAAAATACTCACTGCAGAGTAGACTTCCATTTTTGTTGGTTTTGAAGAATTGGCAGCTTGTTTAATACTGTTTAAAATAATATTCACAAGGACACCTTAAAAAGATGGAAAAAAAGGAAGTGGAAAATGAAGGTATAATGCTTGAATGGAAACAAAAAAGACAAAATAATGTGAGTATCAAATATAACATCTACTCAGGCCTCATATTAATTTTTCAGTTTAATGCAATTTTGTAACTACAGAGAAGATATTACAGAGGAGAAAATTATGATTCATCATCCAGGTCAAGTGAAAAAGCAGGATTCACAGGAAATCATTTAGAACCATCCTGAGAACTGGTGATAATGACACTCCTAGTTCTGTTATGCTGAGATCTCTCCATTCTTTGGTTTTTTTTTTTTTTTTTTTTGTAGTGTTGGAATAATGACAACTGTGTTAGTCTCTTCCTATCTACATGCCAAAGAAATATTTTAACTATTTACTTCCAACATGTTACATGTTATTGATTCTTTGCTTTTTCCAAAGCTCTTTTATTTTTCTCCAGCCCAAATGTATTCTAAAACCAATGGGTGAGGGCAGCAGAAATTCCCTGAAGAACAGTTTATATAATTTTAAGGAAAGAGAATGTAGCTGGTATGCCAGTGAACATTAAATAGTCCTGACCATGTGATATGGGCATCTGCCAGCTAATAGGCTTTACTGCAGATTGGAGCCAGTAATTGCTATATATTTGATCCCGTGATGTGCATGCCTAGGTGATGGATCTGCTAATAATTCTTTACCTAGATCTAGGCTGCACAGTAGATGCATTAGAAAGCCTAACCTCCATTATTCCAGCCTGCAAATATTCTAACTCAATTGTTTGGATTTCCTGCTTATGGATACCTGGGGATCATATGATAAATTCCAGGTTGTGTCCTGAAGTAGTGTCAGAAAGTGCAGCACAGTCTATGTGACCCCATTTTGGAGCTAAGCAGGAGCTCCCAGTTCTTGTAGTTCTTGCAGTATAGACATAACTGGAATCTCTCAGCTTCTGATCAGACTGTTTTGGAGCAGCTTTATATCACTCAGAGAGCTACAAATATGTTGCCTGTGTTTTGACACAGTGTTTAACCAGTACATCAAAGGGAGAATACCAACAGTAAACAATTAGAAGAAGCGTTGGAGAAACAACTAAATCTAACCTACTATAAGGTAAGTAATGATCATAAACATGAGGGCCTGATTTATTCCCTTAGTTTTCTATAATATTTCTAAAAAGTCCTAATACCTTTAAAACTCTGGAAAACATGAAGATATTAATTTTTACGCCTTTTTGTGGTATTTTATCCATGCAAGTGCCAATGTTCAGCACATATTTGAATACTTAATATGGCATCCAATGTCCATAGTTTCAAATCAAGGGTTTGTTTGAATAATTTTGCATTAGTGAAGTGACAACAATTTGCATTACCTCCTCCTTTCTTAAAGCTATGCATTTTTTGATTTACCTCCTTGTAGCCGTGATTTCTCTTCTGTTTTATAAACGCCAAATAATGAGAGTAAAGCCAATTCTGCCAGTTTTTCCATCTTGTTGATTACATCTTTAGTGGCCCATACAGGGAGAGTGTAATTATGAATATCCTAGTGATAAAGGAAAACAAAAGCATGTTTATAATTCACTGGTTTCCATCATCCTATCATCTACACTCACACTACTTAGTTTAGACTTTCTGAGGCTGTCCTGCAATTCTCTGCACAATATGGTTTTCCTCCAGAACATGCCTTGAAACACATTTTGTGGGAATGGGATTGGCCTGAAGTGAGTGAATGGGGAGAGCAGAAGCATCTAAATGAAGGAGATTCCATAATGTGTTCTTGCTATAGAGACACTTTTTTTGGTGGGAAATATTGCAGACATATACCTTCTTCTCTTTCTTTCTCTGGGTCTTCACGTTATAAATATCTAATTTTTTCTGCTTTTCCGTGTAGTTGTCCACATGCCAGTTCTATCACTGGGCAACTAGAGACAAGTGTCACTCTTCAGTCATGTAACAGTGACAGTGTCGTATCATGTTTAATTACCTCAGTTTGTAGAGGATATGTTTAAAGTCCTTCATGCACTGCTGGTAGTGGCTAGGGTCAAATGGAATTATCCCATGTTTGTTGTCAATTCGGGCATTTTTTAACTGATAGCAATCACTGTCTCAAAAATTTTTAACTGATAGATCTTTCATGATCTCTCATGTTCAAAATCATAAGTGTTTTGATGTTTACCTTTTAATAGTTTAACGCTAATAATTTAATTTCTCTGTTAAAAATCACAAATCTATTATAGCCATCATGCTGAATAATTCTATAGCAGCATATTGGGAAGGGGAAAAAGGAAATAATGGGAATGGTACCAGTTCTTCAAACCTGAAATGGAAATTACAATCTCCCAAGCTGTAGACCATGTTTTTCAGATATCTTTTACCAAAGCACTAAAATGTAACTTAGATTCAAAAAACAAAAAACAAACAAACCCCAAAACCAAACCAAAACAAAAAAATCCCAAAAAACAAACAAACAAAAAAAGTAGGAGAAAATACAACTAATTCCTGTGAAAACTCATTGCCATGGTTTAATTGAAACCCAAAGTTGGAGTTATATTCTGCCCCAACATCTATTATTACCTCACAATGTAGAGTGTCATATTACTACCTCACAATTTAGAGTGTCATATTATTACCTCACAATGAAGAGTGTCATATGTATTCCACAGCTGGAAATTGTCCAGTATTTTAAGGTGATTTAGTTCAAGCCCTGTGTTAACTGCCATTGTTTGCAAAAAATCCTGTGGGGAAAAAGTGAAGAATATGCCACAACTGCTCAATACACATGGAACATACATGCAGTTAGATTCACTAACACTCAACCCTTTCACAGAATTTTCACAGAATTAAAGAATAAGCTGGGTTTGAAAGGACCCATAAGGATCATTTAGTCCAACTCCTGGCCCTGCACAGGACATTCCTAAGAATTGCTCCATGTGCTTGAGATCATTGTTCAAATCCTTCTTGAACTCCTTCAGGCTGGTGCTGTGACCACTGCCCTGGGGAGCCTGTTCAGTGCCCAACACCATCTGGGTGAAGAACCTTTCTCTGATATCTAGCCTTGGGGATGCAATAGTCTCGTCAGAGATGGAGAAAGCTAGATAAGCTTTCCCATGAATTGGTCTGGGAAACTTCAGGGAGCTGGAGAGAAAGAATTCTAAACAATCTGCACCTGGTGTTTTGTAATAAGCTGTTTGGCCCATAAGGTTGTTTACAAATGGATGTCTTGTTAATTAGCCAGTCATCTGAAATGTATTGATTAAATGACCAATCAGGTCCACCTGTATCAGACCAGTGTATAAAAGATGCTGTTTCAGTAAAATCAGGGCTTCTGCCACTTTGCCTTCTGATGTGACTCTGTCATCTCTGACCCAATGGTGACCTGGTGACCTTACCTAAACAGGGGTTTAATTTTTTTTCAATTTGTTTTTGCATTTTAACAAAAGAAAAAGTGCAATTCCATAACTTCTGCAACTTCGTTACCTTCCTTTTTATCACATCTTGGGTTTGTTTAGATTTTTGTTTGTTTGTTTTTCCTCTTACCGTGTATGGTTGTATTCTACTTTGAAATTCTTTAGATGTTTGTGTTTCATGCTGGAGTTCATCAAAACGGGGACAGTTGGGCAGAGGGAAGTTCAGCCTCTGAAACATGAAAAGGGAAACTTAGAATAGTTCTAAAATTATCGACACCCCTCTGTTTTTTCTGTTGCTGAGATTAATGGTGTAATATTTTTAGACAGATTCATGGTTGTGTTAGACCTACTCAATAATTGTTTGTTTTGGTACCTTAATAATTAACTCAGTTAACACAGTGAGTAGACTGGGGTAACTTGACTTTTCAATGGCTACTTGTTTCTGTGATAGCTTGATTTCTCTTAATTTAACTGATTTTGGCAGAAAGAAATGGCACATGTCTGTCAAGGGGTTGCTTTGAGAAATGGGTCAGGGTCCGTGATCAAAAATTTTAAAAAGCTACAATTTCCCCTCTCATTTTCTGCATTCCCTCAGCTGTAACTTAACTCCACGTGGTACTGGAACCTGAACTGCTTCTCCATCTACACATCCAGGTCTCATCTCTTTGGAGATAACCAGTGGATTATGGTAAGCATTTTAAGTACTGCTTAATAGACAGAACTTAAAACAAGAGTGACAGATTGTTCTCCTGAAATATCAAAAAGCTATGGGGCTAAGGGCTCTGTTCTTCTTTAGGGAACTGGTTCACTTTTACATACTCCAAGTGTGTGCTTTACAAGATCACATGATAACACATATTTGATCTGAACAGCACGTAAATGCATGCATGCTTCAAACCCTGAGCTCTGGCAAATAAGGTTTATATCAATTGCACAAAGACAAATGATATCTAATACAGCATAAAATGTCAGTGAAAAGCCATGGTGAGCAAAACAAGCTTGTGCTGGTTCAGCATTTTATGTCACATCACTAGAGCAGTTTTGACCCAGCACTAGTATTATCCTGTAGCATTTACAGACTGCACTTCCAGCATGTCTCCAGTGGGACATTGGCAGCATCCACCAACTGACCCTAGCCCACTTTCACTTGAATAGGTTACCAAGGATGCAATTTTTCTGTAACAGCAGCACACTGAGGATGAAAGCTCAGAGTTGCAATGTGAGACTGGGGAATGTTGTTTAATTACACAATATAAATGTTTTTCTTGCTGTTTGTCTTAATTATCCCTCTCTAGGTGTTATTAATTAAGCCACTGCCTTTGGCTTCATTAAGCAGTACTCAGTACTGTTGCCTGTCAAGTCTTGATAGATCTCAGCAGCTTAAAAATAAACTGCGATTATGGTTTTTTTATAGAACTGTACCTGGCTCCAGTTTCCCACTTTGTATTGCTTGGGGCTTGAACATCCCTTCAAACATCTGCTTGGTTTAACAAGAGAACAATGTTTTTTTTCCAGGTGGTTTGCATGATAAAAGGCATTTTGTGCTGCTGCAGAGGTGTGTTTGATGGAAGCATCTGTACTCTCTCCTGAAGCAGCCACAGAAATGATGAGGCACTAGAGACTCCTACAAATGAGCTTCCCTTCCTCAAACAGGTTGTTTCATTGCACTATGATTCCCCTAAGGGCTTTGAGGTATTATATAGCCAAAACTCTAACCACCCTGATGTTTTTCTTGTCTTCTGGTGAAAGGACTTCCTCTGGTGTCCTGTATTTAAATAACAATGACAGTGTTCTTTTCTGTTTAGGAACAGGGTTAAGTTTCTGGCTGAATCACACTTGCCTAATCCAGTTTGTGGGAACTCTTTCTCCCTGTACCTGTTTTCAAACATGGGCTCTAAGAATGGAGCAACATCAAAGGGAGAGAGGTGTGGCAGCCCCCTAATGAGTGAGTCCATGGCCTGATGTTGGTGATGGGCAGTTAAGTAATAGGTGGTTTGTACAAATTTCCTTAAAGTCAGCTTCTCAAAGTCCTCAAAGCCAGAAGTAAATGAGGCTTTCTGTTTTTACACTCACAAACTTTTTATCCTTGTTGGCCACACTGTTCCTTACACAGTGCTTGTCACAAGAGCAAGTGAAATTAAAATCTAAACCTGAGTCAGCCAGAGTGAGCTGCATGAAGTAAAACTTCTACAGGACATATTATTCAGGTAGGTATACCCTTATGATCTGCAAGAGAAGTTCTAGGGTTTCATTAAATGTTTCTATAGCACTGAGCATAAAAGAGCCCTTGTCTGTAATTAGAATGCCTAAGTGCTACCAGAATAGGAAGGTAATAATTTTGAGGTCATTACAGTGGCTGGTGGAAATTCAATTCCTTGAATAAACTATGGAAAAAAAATTGCCAAAGAGACAAGATTGGCCTACTTGAGTGGTGTTTAGAAAAGCACTTCTTTCCTGTAAAGATTTAAGGCAACTTCCCTAGAATATTGTCCAAAAGTGTTCTGGTCAGAAGAAATAACCTCGGAGAAAATGGTAGTGTGTGTGGTAATTCAGGTGTTCTGCAACTATGGAAGGAGGATTTTCATGAAGCTGTTACAATTGACCTATGACATGCTTGTCAGCCAGTAGCTGCATTTGATATTTTCTATTATATTGAACTCAAAAAAGATTAAAAATTATTTTTTGCTATTTTCCTTTTTTCTGTTCTTTTGCTTCTGTGAAAGATTAGGACTTTATAGAATGCTTCTAGCCAGTACTCACCTGCTCTGCTGTTTTATGAAAAATGTGGACTGGAATGGGTTGCCAGAGGAGATCAGGGTTCCAAATTTGGCTGCTAGTTGGTGGAAAGAGGCCAGAAAGGTATGACTGGGCACTCATAATGGTGCGATCATAATCTGTACTTTGGATGTAAAACTGAAAATAGAATGGCAAAGAATTAAAGATAAAATGGAAACTATAAGATATTAGGGAAATTTTACCCAAGTTGTCGATAGTGACTTCCTGTTTTTAGTGTTATATTTTTGCATAAAGTCAAAACAGTGAAAATTTAACTCAGCTTTCCAGGGCCCTACTTCAGTTTCACAAATGGAATTTTCAAGGCATCTTTTAATTTGGAATCTAACCTCCAGATTGAACTGAAAGAATAGGAAAACTTGATTTCAAAGAAGGATGTTTTCTATCTTATTTTTCTCAGTCTTAACATTGATATATATGATTTATTGGTGGACAGGTTAACAATTGGACTTGAAATTCATAAAGATCTTTTCCCACCTAAATGATTCTATGGTCTATCAGTGATCAGGAATGTTAAAGCACTCAAAACCATAAACTTCTCTTGGAAGCATAGCAAAGGTATGTCATGCCCTCCCATTATGCATGCCTCCTAAAGAGACCAAAATGTTAGAGGTATCTTCCCCACAATGGATCTGTACTGTATGATAAGCACATCCAAAGAGCTGTTACAGGAGGAAGTGTGTAAGCATGGCTCATCACATGACTGGAGAAGCATTTATCTGTGCCGTGACCATTCTTGTCTTAGTCTGTTGAAAAATTCCCAAGTCATTCATCATGGAGCTGTTCAGTTTGGGAAAATTAGGTTGTGAAAGACCCAAACAGAATGTAAGAGCTCAAAAATAGACATTATTCTGTGTTTACCTTGACATAAGTCTGTATTTCAAAAAGGTTCTTCTATTACCTGAATTTCTCCATTAATGAAATGAGTATGATAATGTGCTTTTTTAAGTCCATAGTTCTGCTATGCCAGAGAAATATGCTGCAGACAGATCTGCTCTATACCTCTTGCCTGTTGTATGTGCTGTTCAAGAAGCTGGAATATCGTTTCCTCATGTACTGTCCAAGTTCAAATAGCTGCTGCATTCCAGTCTGTAAGGCAAGCATATGGGTAACTACTAGATTAAGGTGACTAGAGACTTTTAGTGTAAAAGTGGTTTTTTTTTATCTTTGTCTTCAGCTATCACCTTTTAAGTAATCATTAACTGTTTGTGTAACGTACAGTTATTGTGGTTTAACCCCAGCTGGCAACTGAACATCACACAACTGCTCTCTCATTCACTCCTGGTGAAACTGGGGAGAGTATCAGAAGAGTAAAAGTGAGAAAACTCCAGGGTTTGAAGACAGTTTGATATGAAAAGCAAAAGCCATACATGCCATCAAAGCAGAACAAGGAATTTTTTACCACTTCCCATGGACTGGAAGGTGTTAGGCCTCCAGGAAAGCAGAGCCCCATCCCAGTTACTTGGGAAAACAAATGACATCAAGCTGAATGTCTGCCCCTTCCTTTTTCTCCACCCAGTTTTATATGCTGAGCATGGCATCATATGGTACAGTATATCTCTTTTGTCAGTGGAGACCTGCTGCCCCAGCTGTGTCCCCTCCCTACTTCTTGTGCCCCCCCAGACAAACTAAGGGTGGTACAAGAAGCAGAAAAGCCCTTGAATCTGTGTAAGCCCTGCTCAGCAGTAACAAAAACATCCCTGTGTTATCAGCACTGTTTTCAGCACAAAACAGAGCCCTGTCCCAGCTCTCTCAGCCAAAACCAGAACTGTGTATGTTGCAGGTGATCTAGAATTTTTAATAGAAATGTTCACTTTTATTTATGAAGAAGTTTTATGTGCTGAAGTGCTAAGATTGCAATATCTGCTACAGAAAGGCAATGCCCCTGACTCTGTACAAATACTATTATCACAGTGCTGTAGGTCTGTAGACACCAATCAACATTGTCCTTTACAATGTATGTCATTTAGTGACAGCTGAGAGAGGATGATTGACAGCCTAGTATTTATCATTGTCATTGCTCTGTTATTTGTCCAGCCTTATACATTTTTGGCTTATATTTCATGCCTTAAGTAGCATTTTTCTGTCTTTGCTTTGGTGTGCCTGCAGTTGTTTTACTTTGCACGCTGTCTTTTCTGTTGTTTATTTCTAAATCCTGAGCTGAACTCAGTGTGTGAATTTTATGGATCTTTCAAGCCCCCTTCAAACTTTAAACACTGAACTGTCTCTGTTTCATACTTCTGCAACATGACAAAATGTTATTAAGAAATGCATTAGCTTCCTTTTGCTCCAGAGCTTCATATGTCAAGTAGTCAAAGAGCTAAGGCTTGATGTTAAAATGCCAGAGCAGCAAGTAGGTTCAGTGCATCCTAGTGAAACTCTGAACTGCAAGTGGCCTTGTTGGAAGACACATTGTCCCCAGAGGCGACCTTCTCCTGCAAGTCTTCTCTTGTTTTGTGAATTGGTGGTTGTCAGTCCAAGGATGAGATGTGGACTTGTTGTGTCATTGCCCTTTCACAGGGCTCAGTACTTAATGGTCATTAGAACTTCATCAATGTTAACAGTACAGTGTTTAAACTTGCAATTTTTTTGAAAGCAGACACACTATCATGAAGTTGTTGCTTTTAGGAAGGTAATTATAAAGCTATGATGAACAAGATTTCAATTTAATAATAGCTAAATGAATAATATTGCAAAAATGTTTGAGAGTTACTGGTATTGGTATTTGCTAATAGCAACTATCAGAACCTGGGATTTTTGCTAATGGTTTTTAGACACACACACACAAAAAATATCTTCCCACTTCCTCTTTCAATAGCATTTTTGAGTTCTTCTAAGAAAGTTAACATACCTTGGTGAGCTGTCCAAATCCCTGGGGCCATTCACTTTCTTTGTGTAGATCAGTTGGAAAGTTCACAATTGGTGTTCGGTCACCGTGTCGGAAAAGCTGACAATGTAAGCAATAAAAACCCCTTGAGTTCATTACTGTTAACACTCCTTTCTTATCTAAATAGAAGTGAAGCATATATTATACTTCCAGTGTAATTTTTCAAATGAAAATGTTGGAGAGTCTGCAGAAACCTGGTCAAGTAGGATGTGAATATATTCTTTAAAATCAAGATTATGTATAATTTTATTAGAATTAAGTGGGCATAAGCCTGATGATTCTTCCTTCTAGAACATTAATCACCCAGGATGTTAATGTTGGGATTGTATTCACAGCTAGGCATCTAGACAGGAAATATGCCTGAATTTTGGAAACTCAGTTCCTGTGAATATTAAGCCAGTTACTGATTTGCTTAGATTAGTATTTAATTACTTTGTCATAGACACTTGAAATGTTTTTGGTAACCTTTTTTTCATAGCAGTATATTTAAAAGTAATTCTATGTCCACATGGATCTTATGCTCAATTTCTCAATCATCCTAAAATATAAAGATAAAAGAGTATAAACATTTACATTGTTGCCTTAATTAATACTTTATTAGTACTTTTACATGCAAATATAAAATATTTTTTAAAGTCTTTAGGATTTTATCTCTATCAAATTCAGTGAGAGCAAAGACACTGGTTGCTTTACTATCCTGAACGGTCCAGCATGCTGAGTATTAGTGTGATGCCTTCAATCATATGATTTTTAAGCAGAAAAATTAAATGAACCTTTTTGTATTTTTATTCCAGCATACAAAGGAAATTACAGCCCTAGATTAAATGGTTCTGAAAAACTAAATTATCCCCCCCACAGCATATGCTGCGTGGGCTTAGAAAAATTAAGTCCACAGAAGTTTCATGTGAAACAAAATGCTGAAATACAAATTCACAGGGCTCCAGACAACCTTCCAGGATGCTGACCCAAATTGTTGGAAAAATTACCTTTGCTTATCAATGTTCCCATCACCAACTTCTTTCCTGACTTAGCACAAAAAAATGACAATGTAGCAGCATGGTATATTTGTTAATAAAATGATATTTATGCCCTAATACCTCAGTGGTACTTAACTTGTTTATAATTAATACTCTCCATTGCGTCATTAAGCCACATCACTCTTGCCCAAACATGAGAGAAGGTTGATCACACTAGTTTGTTTGCCACTCCCACTGGGAGGTGGTTCACGTTTATATTTTTCAAAGTAAACACCAGTGGTGTGACTGAATGTTTTAATTACAGCACACACCCTTTCCATCAGTCTTCTCTAGTAATGCACATGAACCTGTGCTGGAGCAGGTACTGCAGAGATGGAAAATACTGTCCATTAAAGGCAAATATAATTGGATTTCTCCCTCTGTTTCTACAATAGACAACAAAGTTTGCTGGAGTATAAGTTACCATTAGAACATGTAGAAGACTGCTTATTATGTTTTTTGTTTTGCCAGTTTAATTACACTATGTGGCCAACCTAAAATGAATATTTTGCAGCAAATTGAGGAGGGTCTTCACCCTCATTATCAAGTTTGTTGTTTTGGTTTTTTTCCTTTTCTGTGCAATTTTTAATCCTCTTTAAATCTCATTTGTTATAATTTGGAATCTCAGTTGGTTCTTTATAACAATTTCTCAGTGCACTTGTAGTGAGCAGGAGAATAAGTTACATTGTCTGGTGGCTGATTGAGCTGAGTGCAAGAAAAATGAGTGATAAGGACTTTTGTACTACTGCTCATTTCCTTATGCTGATGTACATAGGTGTCAGGTAGGATTTATTAGTTTTTTTGGACAAGCTGGTACCTGTGTCAAGAGTGAAGGGTAAATTCCCAATCACAACATGGCTGCATCTATCCAGCTGCAATTATCCAGCTTCACAGCAAAGCATTTTTATAGGTAATTGACAATTGTTCAAACTGACTGCTGTGTTTAAATGACTAATTTTTATGTATATTTTAGGCAATAGTTAACAATAGATCAACACTTGGTGATAAATATGCCCTTTTTAGTAGAGATAAATTACTGACAATGTGTTAGATTTTAAATACTGGTTTGTGATGTTTCATGTTCAGTGTTCTGCCTAACCCTGAGTGTGTCACAACAGTCAACCCATAAAGCTTTCGATAAATCAGAACAGCATTTTTTCTGAATAGAAATTAGTGTGCAGAAAGATCAAGATCAAAGGTATATATGAGCAGGAGATGTAAAGAAAAGTGTTTTATTTCTTTGTAACCTTAAGAATTTGAAGGAGTGGAGGTGTGCTCTTCTAAAAAGAAGCTTAGTTCCTTTAAGTCCACACAAAAGAGGAAATAAAAAATGAGATCCTTGTTCATATTTCTGCACCTTCATTGCACAGTGTCACATAAATATGGTATGAACACTAAGCTGGAAGCAGCAAGAGGGGAACAAACACTTAAAAAAGCAGAACCCTGTTTTTAGGAATTCAGGGATAAAGCTTCTTAGCCAACTGGTTTTTGTATGTGCTCAAACCTCCTTGCTACTTCTGAAAATGACCTTGCTTCAGCTGCAAATGAAACAATGACCATATGAACAACCTCTTAACCTGAAAGACTAATTCATTCACTCTCAGCTTCATCTTAGGAGACTTTTTCTAAAATTTGAAACTGTTTTTTTCATTAGAACACCTGATCGGAAAAGAAAGTGTATCCCTACAGATCATACCTTACTCATCAATATGAGTTTCTCAACACTCATAGTTTCAACCTTTTAAAAAAATCATTTGATTTATCAAATTAATTTAAAAATATGTGTGTTGCAGCATTTATTACTCCTGACCAACAGATTGCCTTCCTGACCTTTCAGGAGACACAAAACATGGTAGAATGAGAGAAGAGGAGCAAGGAAGCATCATTGAAAGTGAAAAGACTCCAGAAATCAAGAAGGAGGCAATGGTAAGGGGAATGTACACAAGAGGAGCAAAGCAGATCTGTTTGGTATATTGATTTTGGCACTCCTTTTGAAGTGCTTCACTTCAGTTCTCAAAAGCAATAGGTGAATAATTATCAAATTAATTGCCCTCTCCTTCCACTCTGCTACAGCTTGAATCTGATTTGGTGTCTGGGTTCATCATTCACTCGTGGTAACTTTGTGAGCATGATCACTTCATATGAAAATGGTCACATGAGTCAGACTTTGGCCAGCATTTGCTTCCATTGTTGTCAGGTGAAAAATAATGTTGGAGACAATCTGGTGCAGGGCAGGGGTGCACTGAGAATATGGCCTGTGTAGTATCTATCTATATATCTATATCTATATATAAAGCATCTTCATTTAGAAATGCCATGAATTACAGTGAAGTATCTGTCTCTGAGTGATCTTACAGACACTTTTATTGACAGACTTAACTTCAGACAAAAAGATCTGTTACTTTGAAGCCAGGAATAGGAAGGGAGAAACAAAAGTGAAGTGAAACCATCATGCTGCCAGTTCAGGGAAACCAGATGTAGAAGTACTGAGCATGTTTAGTCAAGATTTCAGATGGCTTGGCTTGATTAGAGAAATCACGCTCAGAGATAACATGCTCAGTCAACGCTTCCTATCCTGAGTTACAAGAAGAAAAACATGATGAAACCACAGTGCCTCAGAAACCACACCTCTTTGTATATATGACAGATGAAATGTGTGTGTGTGTAGAGGCAGAAGGTTCAGGTCAGAACTTCTTTAAACAGAGCCAATAAATCAGTACTTCATTTCTACTTGGGTGCCTGATTGTCCTACATATTTCCTATTTTTTTCTTTAAAGTTTATATTTTTAAATTTAAATTCTGCCTTTAATCTTAAATTCATTGCACAAGAGTTGTGGTGAAAGCTAATGTTTACATGTAAGCAAAGAAATTTAAAAAGCATTTTGACAAATTGGCTTGAAGTAGAGCTTTTCAGAGAACAGGACTTGTGGCCAATAGTCAAAATGCACAAAGTCAGCACAAAGTTGGAAGTTGTGAGGAGAGAGTGAGACACCTTCCCAGGAATAGTACAATTCTAGAAGTGAAAAAAAGTTAACATTTATCCATATTTCTTCACCACTGCAGATGTATTTTATATTGTGCAGTTCTGCTACGGAAATTTTAAAAAATCATTATGACAATTTTCACACTGCAATAATACTCCCAGGTGAAACCAGTAACTTATAGAACAGCTGGACAATGTCTGTTGAATTATGTCAGAAAGATGCCTTTCAGATTTACCTGACTGTAGCAATACCCTCATTATATCCCATTATATCAGTGGTATATTCACTGACGGGGTCAATTCCTATGCTGTATATTTATACTAGCAATTCTGTTTCTATGAAAATTCAATCAGCATACATAAACCATGCCTTGAGAAAAAAGAAGTATATTGTGATAATATTAAGCCCATTGTAACATTTTATGTGATTGGTCAGCCTAAGCAAAAGTAACAGGACTAAAAGGAAGACAACCTAAATGAAATTTACCTACTATTTATTGTGGTTTTGTTTTGCTTTGTTTTGTTTTGTTTTTGTTTTTGTTTTTTTTTTTTGTCAGGTTATGGTAAGCACAGTTATGGTAAGCAGATGATTTTAGGAATTCAATAAAAATCTCATCCCTTTCAAAGAGTTAATGATCCAAGACTTGCTGTCTACCTGTTTTCATCCAGTTCTCCCTGTTACCATTGGAAAAAACATGCAAGTATATTTCTGTATACAGAATGTTACTGGAATTAGCGTCAGGTCCCTGCTATGTGTGGTGTCTCAGCAGGAGCAGGAACTGGTTTTTCCTGTGCACTCTGGCCTTCCTCCAAGCTGTGCATGCACAATGCACCCAATGTGGCTATACATGGAGTAATCTACCTGGAGCCAAAAGATATGTTTTGGATAGAGTACTTCTGCACACATAATGTCTCAAATAGGGAAGGGCTGAAGGAGAAGATCTTCAATTGCCTATTTATAAAAGTTCATTCCAAACTCCTCAACCTTGTACAGAAAATATTCCTTTATACTAACTATTCTTTATCATTATACCTTTTATTAAAAAAAAAAGGTGAAAAAGGACCATTGTTCAACCTTTGTAATCCAAAGTATTACATTGAATCAATGTCTCTTTTTCTAGAGGTATTTGGGAAAGTGACATTGAAGTAGTGTTTAGCTACTTTGATATGAGAAATGGCCCAGCAAAAGAATTATTACAGTTTGTTTTCAGCCTAACTGAAGTTAATACAACATGTCTCTCAAATCTCCACTTAAAAACACCTGTCTATTTAGTTTCTCAGTGTACTGCTGTGACAATTCAGTTATTATGAAATGGAAAATATTTATTTTGTGTGTTTATGTGTGGTAACTTCTGTAACATGATAAGCTTCAGCTTCCAAGCATAGAAGAGGTAGTCCATAATCACCAGCTCTAACACTATGCATTGGAGTATCAGTTAAATTGAGGAAGAATAGGTAAATGTGGACTTTGCATCTCTTAATTCCTCTGCACTATGCATCTACCACAAAGTCAGTTATCTTGAAACAATAATTAGGAGATTAGGAGATGAAATAATTAGGAAGATTAGGAGATTAAAATTCTAAGAACCACAGACATTTTTATCTTTCTTTAGGTGAGGTCTTTAAACTCAGTAAGCAGAAGGGCAGCAGTACTTATTTCTAAGTTTGAACACAAGCAAAGAAACTGTACACCTTGTCTGATTCAACAGACATGTAATTCTGTCCCTGTAATCCCCACAACAAAACAGACAACAAATCTACTTACTACAACCACAAACTTCAGTTCTCGTGCTGCAGTGGTCTGTTGAAGCAGAATGAGAATAATGTGAAAAGAAAAACACAGGATCCTAGACAAGTTGGGAAGCCGTATCACACCCATCCTGACAGGAGAGGAAAAAGAGACTTTGTAGCTCCAGCAGCTGCTCAGGCTCAACTGTGAGATGTCAGGCTGTACCTTCAGAAGGGGCGGAACTGCCGCTGGTGCATTTCAAATCCAAGAGGAATGTTGTGTGACTACGCAACAAATTGCATCGCCCTTTGTTTTCAAATTACTGTTTACATTCTTTTTAATCAAATAATAATTCAGTTCCTTTTTTTTCCTGTAATATTTTTTTTCTTTTGGAGTGTGAGGATGAAGTTAAGATACAATGGAATTGCTAAGCATTGCTGGTGTTTCAACCTACCTGTTCTGTTTTGACTTTTCTGTGCCTGGAATTTTTCCAAACTATAGCCACAAGGATGAACCACGAGCCAGGCAATACTGTTTCTCTTTGCTGCTCAGCTAGCCCACTTTTCAGCTTCCTTCCCCTCAGTTTTTTTTTTCTTTCCCTCTTCCACACTATCTTTGTAAAATCAGAATAATTATTTTAAAACAACATTTCATGTTGTTTTAAATTGCCAGTCCCTCAGATTAAATACTAGAATAGATTTTGCAACAAAATATGTTATTTAAAATCCTTGCTGGGCAGTTATTTGCTCTTCACTTTGTGTGTGTTATTTTTATTTTCCTTTGGAGTATTCCTATACTTCCCCTTTGGAACTGCTTATGTCAAGATCTTTTTTGGCCTCAAATCTTTAAGAAATTTCTAGTGAACAAGTCCTGGATCTCACATTTTTATTATTACTGATTAATAGCACTGTTTCTGACAGTAGCTCAGTGGTTTTGAGGAGATTGCTCAGCTTGTCTCTCCTGACTTCCTCTCTATAAAATAAGAAGAATGATACCTGTAGACTTGATTTCATAAGCACTTTTTGAGTAATGAATTAGTTTGCAGAGAACTATAAGTACAGTTCTTTAAGTGCTAAAACTTTAGTTTCTTTGTGTATTGTCATTCCATTCCTACCATACCCAAACCTGTCTCAGGGTCTACTGCTGAGCTCTCTGCAGCAGCATTTTCTACAATTTCTGCTTCACCATTTACCAGAAATTCCATCTTTAAGGCCCTAAAGCCCACTAAGCCTCAGGTATTCTCTCCTCTGAGATGTGTGAATGTGTTTATGTATTCATTTTGATTGATGGGGCCAGATGGGAGGAGCATGACAGCTCCCAAACTTTCCTGTCTGTCTTCTCTGTCCATTCCCAGTTTTCAGCAGTTGGACTTCTTTCTTCCTCCATTGTTATGTCCCCACCCTCCTTTTTGATCTCTCCTGGTGTGATTTTTGCCTATGCAATGGGTGCATGAGAGTTATCTATACTTCATAAATAAATAATATGTTGTCTTTCTGAAAACAAACATAAGCTCCATTATTTAAGAGTTTAGGTCATAAAACAGACTCTCAGACTACTTTCATATGTCTCAAAACTCAAAAATGGATGTCTTACTTTTTAATCTATGTAATGGGTGGTTCCTAAGCTATTTGATCAAGGATCACTGTTGGCTCTTGGAATCTTTTCTTATCCTTCTTATGACCTTCCCACAAAATTCATAACTGATTAGTTTTTATAAGATTTGCTGGTTTATTGTTTTTCATTGATAAGTGAATATGACCACTGTATATGGAACCATTCTAATGACTTCACTTTAGGACCTGAACTCAATTTTATTGGGGCAGGGAGGGGGATTTTGGATGGCATCATTCAAGAATGTTAAAAAATATATGACAACGACATTTTATAGAAAATCTTTGCTAATGTCTCTTAAAAATGATACCTCAACACAAGACCAAGCCTATGGTAAGTAGTAGTGATTTCTGTGGTTTCACTCTTCCCTTGGCATGTATACTTTGTTAGGGAGAATATTTTGTGCTCAAAATAATAGGTACCACAACAACTGAAGTAAATGCTTGCACATTCCAAAATGGAAAAGAATCCCCATTTATGTGCCATACTGGTTAAGATAGAGTCATGTAGGAATCCTGTGTGCAATCTGAAAGAATGTTGGTAGTATGTATTCAATTTGGAAATTTCCTTGTGTTTCTGGAATTATCTCCATTTCTACTGGGCATTTGGCAGATATAAACTTAGCATATCCTGCAGTAACTAAATCCTGGCACTTTTCAGGAGAAGTTGCTTCAAAATAATAATAATAAAAAAGTCCTTTTTAATCTATTTATGGTTGCTGAAGCATTATAATGCAAGTGAACCTAAACCATTTAAATCATGCTTATGTTAATTTGACTTATTGTCATAAGTTCTAATTATGATATTATGGCATTAAGTAGAATTAAATGCAATTATAAATTTTAAGTGCACGTACCTATCTTAAAGGCTGCTGAAGCCTTGATTTGCTTTGAAGTGGCTGGTTGCAAAAAGCCTGTGCTTTATTGTACACAAAGGTTACTTGAGGTAACCACTGCTGCTGGTGCAGCTCAACCTGCACCCTCAAAGGGTGGCAGTCACTACAGTCAAAGCACCAGGTATGAAACTGCTGCCAGCACTCATGAACCAAGCTGCTTACACAGGGAAACAGCTCAGGTCCTGCTGCTGACTGCATGTGCAGATCAGCACTTAGCGTGGCTTGGATTTATCTCCAATCCTTTTTTTCCAAGCTTTTTTTGGTTTTGTTTTTGGGCTGAAAGAGGGAAAAGATTTTGTTTCAGTAAACAGAGTGACACCTTTTCCAAGCACCATTCTGAAACATGAGGAAAATAAGACTGCCACACAGCCCTGTTTGGGAATGTTTTCACCCAGTTGTGGCGAGTGGGAAGGGACCAGGAAGTTAATTTGTGACACAGAAACACTTCACTTATTTGTACTGCTGACAGAACATGAACGTCTATCTTAGACTACAGAGAAAAATGTCCTAAGCCAAAAGTTTCTAATCTAAGGCAAGTGGGGGGAAGAAAGTGGCTACTTGCTGTCTATTTACTGTTTTCTAATAATTTCTTAGTTATCTCAAGTTTGCAATATGCACCTGGTTACAGGGCATTCGGGGAATTTCTTCTTGATTTTATGAGATAAAATGTTGGCCTGAGACAAGGGAAACCTAATTTGCAGGTTTTCCAAAAAACAAAGTGAACTGCAAATAAAAAAGAGACAGGAAGCACTACTCCTCTTCTCTTTCCCCTCTGAAACTCTGCAATTTGGTGGTGATTTTATTTTCTGGAAGAGGTGGAGACAAATCTTTTTGCTAAAGGAAGGATTTGAATTTGTGTCTGCCACATCTTGGGTAAGTACTGTGAACATTAAATAAAAAGAAGGAAAACCTGCTTCTAGTACTACCATGAAACAAATCTAAATTAGTTGATTAATTTGATCAGAGTTTAGGTTGTTTTGCATTTTTTTCTTTCATTCATTTCTGATAGTCAGCTCAGTAAATAACTCAAAGAGAAACAGGTGATGAAATTGATGAAAATGATAGTTCAGGCAGTCCAGTGCCACCTTTCCAGGACAGCCCAAAATTACTGTTACTTTTCTGTTGTTCATTCCCCATTTTTCTGACACTGCTTCAGCATATGAAAGGAAAAATAATGATCACAAGTTATATCCAGCTCTATTACAGCATCTATGACTATTCAAGTTATTAAGCAACTCTTTAAAGTATGACTGTCTGTCTAGCCATTGCTTGTGAAAGAAGAGAGGGAGTTGCATATCCAGGTGATCCTGGTTTTGCAACATATTTAAAAAATAAGTAATCTAAATAATTCCAAAGTCAAACTGTTTTTACTCATTTTGACTCACTTCTTCTTTAAGAGGAACTGAAACGAACTTGTTTATGACTTCACGTCTGCAAAAAATATAAGACAGATTTTTCAAATTAATGAAGTTGTGAGGTGAAGTTGTAGGAAAACATAATTTAGAGCAGTTTATTATTCATTCACTGTCAGCCCAATTTATATTCCTACAATAGATCTGGGCTTTATGTTCCAGCCTTTATAAACACTGATGCTTATTTTCCCTCTGAGTTAGGGAGGTATAAAGGAAATCTTCCTTTATGTGTTTCTACAATGATAGTCTTAAGAACAAAAAACATTACAAAGAATGTGTGTGATTGGGTTTTTGTACAGTAGGGGTAGGGGGAATAAAATAATTTAGAAATGTCTTAATTTGTAAAGTAAATTTTTAATTTATTTTTGCTCAGCAGAAACTAGGTTATTCAAGGTATATACACTGGGGCACGTAGCATGGAAGAAGACATTGTTGGAACATGTGATGGAAAAGGGGAACTTTATATTGTTATAGTGTAAGCAGCAACCTCACATAGGATGCACTTCCATAACTGAACTGAAGTGCTGACGCCAGGGTCTATCCAGGTCCATGATCCCCCAAACCAGACAAATCTCTGGGATAAAGGATCTTCATGCAGCTTTGAAAGTTTTTGGGACATGGATTTGGGTTAGGAAGGAGTGGAAGAGCTGGTAACTGGAGACTAAAGAGAATAATTAAGAATGTCCCAGGTCTCTATCACAATTTCTATGTCAGCATTGTCCAATTCAGAAAACTCACAGAAAAGTTACCCTTAACTTGGATAGGAGAAGCATGAAATTTACCCTTTACAGCTCTTGAACTTTCACTTCTAAACATCTGGCAAACAAAACGTTAAAAGCAACTCGGGCACCACAATTTGGCATCAGTTCAAAAAAAAAAGAAGAAACGGGAACAGGTTGAGAAGAGAAAGTGCCTAGAAATTTGGTTTTGACAGCCAAGGCTACAATCTGTTAGAAGTCTAACACTGATAAAGATGGAGTCTTGGCTTTTCCTTTCTGTTTGCTTTCGTCTAGCAGGTTTTTTTTAATTACTTCTTAGGAAGGGAGGTGTGATGATCAGCATGGTTTGGAGATGAATAACTTAAAGAGCTTGCACTAACTTTCCTATGAGGGCTGCCAGACCTGGGAAGACTTTCTTCTGGTGTCCATTATGGGACATTAGGGTAATACAGAATAAACAAGCTTGCTCTTCTTTGCATTAAGGAGCAGGTAGAACTGGTTGTCTCATGTTGT